AGTTTACAGCAGTGGCGACAATCTTAGAATTCCAATTGAAATTGGAGGACATATTTGGGAAAACGATAAACAGTGAGTTAAAGCAGAAGAATCTTTTGAACAGAACTCGTAGTTGTGGATAACGTACAAAAGCGAATGAACTCAATTTAGTAAAGAATGTCTGTCGTTAAGTAGATTATCTTATTACGAAAGAAAATATCAAATACACTTAACTGTAATATGAACGTTCAGAATCACTAACAATAAACACTAAAAGGAAAGAAATATATGTGTGGTTTTTTTTTACTTTCTTTTTCAATTTCATTTATCATTGTGTATAGTGTCTTGCTCGATCGTTTTTGTTACTTTTTGTGATATTGCGACACAAAAGTCAACAAAATATCCGCATCATAGCGTTTTAACAAGCAGTTTAAGACTGTTGAATTTATTAGTTTGCAACTGCATTCGTGACTACTGTCAATTTTGGTAAACATTGGAAAACTGTCCAAAATAACCAAAAATTGTTTGATTAAACTTTAATTTATATTGCTAGGGAAGAAACAATATAAATGAAAAACAAATTTTAATTAAAATCCCAACCAGAAGAAATACATAACAAAAAAAAACATTGCCTGGCTTAAGAACAACGAGTTGATCTAAAAATACAATTTCCTTATTAAGAAGCAAATTAAAATGTATAAGGCTCTGAGGAATGTAGAAAATATAAGAAACGTAAGAAAGTGCTTCAGCGGTCTAATTAAAGAAACTTTATCAAAGGCACGCTATGGAAAGGTTACGCGCTTTCGCATTTGAAATAATGGTTTTTATTTCCCGTGCATTTTCTTTGTAAAATACAATTGCCGCATAATTAAATGCTTACTTTAACGCTTTGTGCGTACAGCTCAAATCATTTCGTGTTAAGGTAAATTAATTATGTGTTTAATCAAGATTTTAAGAAAAATTAATTTTACTTTTGAAGGAAATAATAATTATTATGTCAACTATAGTAGTAGCTACATTTTTAAGGTTATGATCACAACCTATTATAGTAATATCCTTTCATTCTGTACCCAAATTTCAAAAAGATGAAAGGATGTAGACACAAACGACTGTTCTACTTGACAACTCAGGCACGACTGATCATCCTGGTCACTGTGTGCAAGTCTGTTATACCTGCAATCAACCCGTAAAAAGTGTCGGGGGGCGTTGCATAGTATATCGGGATCAAGAGTATTAACTACAGGTTTCTCTGATCACTAGAACTAAAAAAGAAAGAGGAGCTTAAGTCACCAGGTTAGATGAAAGCTAAAGTTTTTACCGAAAACTCCTTTTCCTTATTTTCACCTTTTCTTAGCATTTCGGATAAAGTCACATAGAGTCCCCTAGTTCATATTTTATATAAAAAATACAAAACGTGTTTGCTATTCATAGATATGCAAAACCATGAAACATGTAACATGAATTTCTACATCAGAATATTGCGATAAGAAAAGCTCTGGAGGGGCAAAGGTTAACCTTGGTCGGTGAAACTGACTCACAATATTTACGCTTCGTCGGCTTCGATAAGCAAAAAGCTCCCGCGATACTCAGATACCCAACAAGCGCAAAGTAACGGAAAGGCATTGGAAATGTGTCGATATCTCACATTTACCATTCGCATGTATGATATTCCCATATCAGAAATTCACAAAATATACTCACTTACTCATTTTCATACCCCTCTCGTAGATAAATTCTAATATGTTGACAAGTTAGTAAAATAATTTGTTACACTTCGCCTGAATTTATACTGCTTCTTGTAAAACTTGAACTTGTAAATAGAAATAGCAAACTTTGAGAAGTATTAGCCAAATCCAATTATCCTCCTGATCGCCGCACATTGACTTTCTGAGCTTCGTTTTTCAGCTTGCATTACGAATACTATAGTGCAACAAAGTTGATTTCCACAAAGTTGCTACTTGCTATGCTTGCGCCGGTGGCAAATTGGGAAAGTGTCAGCATGAGTAAACCAACATTCTGACTCTGGCTCAAAGTTACAGTTAGTATTACAACGTCGTTTACATCATGAGTATGTGATCGAGGTTGGAAGGAAAACTGGTGAAGCGTTCGAGCATAAAATGAACCGGAATCGATTGATTGACCTTCCCGGTTGGTTTGATGTGCGTTTCCAGCTATATAGCTTTTGTTTTTTCCTTCTCTCACTAAAAAAAACGAACGTGTTATTAGTTTCTGCGTGTGCAACTAACCGTATTTGATCTTATCACGCACACGCACAAATACATTCGTGTAATTTTCGTAATTGTTAGTTTTAAGAATCATTTATTTTATGTTGAGTTAGGTTATGACTCATTTACGTCAAACACACGCAACCATGCACTATACAATGTCATTTGTGTTGCCTATTATAAACCTTTCAAATGATTTTAGATATTTACAATCTTTTGAAAGTTTGATCATGTCCACAACCAACCAGGTTCGAGCACACGCATAAATCATGTATAAACCCTTTAGTTCGTTCACCCTTCGACCGTGCTCGTTGTTGCAGTCACCTGCGCATGCAATCAGGTGTGTAAACCAGGCCGGCAATAAAAATTTAGATTATCCTTTGTTTTTACACGCTTTACACTTTTTGCTTACATTTATCAAATAAATACGGAAATTGTGCGACCATGAAAACAATGCGCATTACAGCTTAGAATGCTTAGAAATGTTCAAATTGTTAAAATGTGTAAATCGTAATTAATACTTGCATACGCGTTGAAACGTGTAAAACTTATGTAATTTGCATGCAGCAAGGGTGGGTAATCATTAATCGCTGCGGGGCTGACAAGTGCCAGCGGCACACATCGTTGAGCTGTAAACAAACGTGCAATGAGCAATTATTTCACAACGCGCATTTGGATGGAAAGCGCATTCTCTGCCACTCCAATGCTTTGGGGCTTGTAGAGCATGTCAAGTACAAACATGATGTGTCGAAGGGTTGAATAATCACGTGTATTCACACGCCGAACAATAAGATTTTAAGGTTACATTAATTTTACATCGCATTAACATTGAAAAACAAATGTTTATTTTCAATGTGGAAAAGTTTAAATATTAAATTCTACACAGTGAGCAATCAAATGTTTTGAGGTTTTAAGGACGGTACAATTACTGCACAAATTGCAATCGTAGCGTGGTAGAACACAAAGCTCGATAGCGCATGAGGCTGTCAAAGGACTTCGTTTTAATTAAATTTACTGCACCAAGCAAGTGGCTGTGCAATGTTTACTCAAACTTGAAATTGCTTACTATATGAATGCGAAAATAAAATATTACCGAATTGGTGTTTTAAACAAAATTAAACCGAGAAAGAATTTGTATGAAAACTTTTATGGTAATTAACTCAATAAATTTTACTTTTGAATATTTAATTTTTGTTGCTACTGGCTCAATTTTGTAAATTAGCCGGTTGGTAACAGTTTTAGTTAAGCTCTTGCTCGCCGACGAGCTTTGTACGGTTTCGGAACATATTGCATTATGTTTTATACGTAAAGCTGAGAAGGAAGATGTTCTGCTTAACATACGCGTAGTAGACGGAGAGCTTTCAGCTTTTTGTGGAGACTGTGGACGTAGCGCTCGAGGAAGATTGAGAGCTTCACAGCTAAATTGTTAAATAAATAATAAGCTTAATGCGTCTTCCAGCTTCTTCGTTTCCAGTCGAGCTTTTCTCGCTCAACAATCGAAATTTATGCGTGAATCTTAATCAGATTGTTGAAAGTTTAACGCATGAAGCGTCACAGATCTGTATTGATAAACTAATTTTATTACCAATTTACAATTTAAACCATCAATCATTTTAAGAATATATCATTTTCTTGTTGGATAATATATTCAACCCAATTTACGTCCACTTTTTACATGTTTTTGTATGCTAAGAAGTGCGTGTTGCCTATAATACATCAAAAAGAAGCTTTGATTCACGCCTCGCTTGATAAATTGAATACGAGCCCTGACACGTTCCTAAATGACAAAAGAGACAAAAAATATATAAACATAAAGCCAAAGCAAAGGCCAAAGGATGATTGTCACTTGTCGCTTTTTCATTGTTTCCTGTTTCTCCCAATTTTCCAGCCACACCCATACACCCACTCATATATAAAATAAATAGAAGAATGAATGTGGAAGAATGGATGACAGAATGAATTTGTGCGTATTGCTCTGACACTGACCTTTTGATTCTGCGACAGGAAAGCACCGACAGCAACAGCAACGTTCAAAATCGATAAATTTAAAGCTGATATTTTCAATTGGTGCAAATTGCTGGAACACCAAACGAGCCATGGTATTATTTTTTTTCATCTGTCCTTTTCAGGACTACTCTGGTTATGTTCGTAACGTATGCAACCAAAAGTGCCATAAAGCGCCTCCATCTTGAACTTTCTCGTTCATTTTTTTTAGTGTGGCTCACTTTTGACATTACTCACAAGGCGTTATTAAAACTTTTTCTCTTCCGTCCTTAACCTTTATCAGATTCTACTTGTGTCCATCTTATTTTTATCACAAAGATAAAAACCGTCATTTTGGTAAGATCATTTTTATTTTTCTATTGTTCAACGATATATTCTATTCCGATAAATGCAATTTTATGAAGATTTACATTGACGTTTACCTGCAAAATACTCTATCTCTATTCCAAGAACTAGTTACTGGAATGGAACTGAGCATAAATTCTCCACGTGCATATATTCTTGATTTTCCGCAGCACCAGACTGAACGCATTCAGATAATGATACGAATTGGCTCGCTGACTTTCAGAAGCAATAAAAGAATCTGAATGCCAAATGAATGCAAGAGTTTGAAACGAGAGAATAGGCCATTAACTGACGGTACTTCCGGTTTCTGGCACCACGATTGAAAGCAATGCACATCATTACACGTTTATTACTCTTTCAAATGTCAGAAATATGCCAATCCTAGCTAGCACATATCAAATTACCTGTCAAAAATAAAATTTGATGTTTTTTTTTTCATGATTTAAGATCTGGTTTTAACTCAAGATGGCGACTGAAGACAACGGCAACATCGGATTGTTGAAACCTATGTCTAGCAGTAATGAAGATCTCAGCGAGTACACCGACGCAGATGAATCCATTTCGGCACCGACTGAATTTCTAGCTGAGGTAAAAACTGTTCAATCTTTTAGTTCTAGAGTACAGAAATCTTTAGATTCGTGTAGTGAAAATCGATTTTTGGCTTCTTTTATCCGCTCTTGACACTTGACACTTTGGAGCTTTGGTGCTAAACTCGGAAATAAAGTGGGATTTCGCTGTGCAATCTTGACACGAAACTATTCTGTGTTTAGTTGCCCACAACGGAATAACTAACGTGGGTACAAAGTTAAATTCCCTCAAGGTTAACTACGTGTTTAATTATTCACTATGGACGGTTTACTATTCTACCTTTGCAGAAATAAAACTGTTACATTTTAAGATAAAAATTATTTGATATATTTGTGGTTTTAAGCGAAACGAGCAGTTATCAGTCATATTTTCCATTAGAACGGAATAATATTGTCGGCGGTTGAACAAAATTGCAAAATGGGACAGTGAGTAATTGCAATCATATCCTGCGGTTATTTGGTTTGCTCCTGTCGCGCAGAATGATATTACCGGTATTGTCGGCGTTTTGAATCAACTCGCAAGTCATTAATTTTAATTTTTAACGAACAGTCATGTTTGAATAATCAATTCATTAGATTTTTAGCAAATACTTTCGTTTCTAGACAAATTTGGTCGTTTATTGCGCTATTATTCGTTTAAGTTAATAAAAACAAGTAAAAATGGCCTACCGGAATGAAGATAGAATGACGACGCGCGAAGGAGCGATATCAAAACGACAGAGGACGACGTTCCGGACGCACAGGATGAATATAAGAGGTTTCTCGTGCTCCCGCCGCTTCGTTTACTGCAATTTAGTTGCAAATGTTTGTTTTGCTCGAGTTATCCAGCCCACTCCTTGGATGCCTCGGGTATTCCGCCGTTTTCTTGGCATAGTTGGCGAGCCAACAGTTCGCGTCCGGTTAGATTTATAACGGATGTATTTATAGTTGCTACAGCTCCCAACTACGCAGTTATATTTTTCTAAGTAATGTTATAAACTTTCCAATGAATATTTTTAAGTTTTCAAACGTTTTTCAGCAAGTTTCGACTAATTTCAGTTCTAAATTCAATTATACTCGGAAAACTTAGAAGCAGATGTGTCCCAAAACTTTGAATCCTACTAAATTGCGTATTCTAAGTTGCGAATATCAAATTCCTAATCAATCTTAGAAGTTGTTGGTGATATTGGCCGAAATTTTGATAAAAAGGGCTATTGACTAGTCATTGAAACCATAACTTGCATAAATTAGACGTTTTTGTTGGTTGTTGGTTGGTGGTTGGCGATCTAGTTGCTGCTGGTGACATTTTGGGCGCGAAGCCAACGCGCGCACAAACCAGGACATCGGATGGTGATTAATTGCCAAATTCTCTTTCGGCTGCGTGCAAAGTATAATAGAAGCGGTAACAAGAGCACTGGGGTTTGTATAGGTAGACCAACTTGAATTGTGAAGCATCCTACGCCGTAATGTTCTAACGTTCCAGGATTCACTAACATTTTAAGACTAGACTTTGTGGTTGGAAAACTCTGGGCTTTGGGTTTGGAAGTAAAAAAGTTTACTCTGAAGAACTCATATTTAAGAGGCGGTACTTCAGACCACAATTCACTCTAGTCAGCAAAAAACTACTTCTATTTTTAGAGTTATAAACGTAATCGTAAAATCAGTAACAGTTCATCTTTGATATCGATCTTTAACACATCTACACGTCCAAACTATAAACTTGCACTTTGTAAAAAGCTGATTCAAAATATTTTTTGTCTTATTTTTACCCAAAAAGTTTTATAAGTACTTTTCTTAGTTCAACCTTCAAGCTTCACTTTCAATTTAGTTCGATCGGTTTTTATTTCCTTTATTTTTTATTAAATCTTGAACACTAATGGTTCGAAAGCTCTCCAATACGAGTGTTGAGATTAATAGCAAATATTTAAAGAAGAAAGTCTAATATAAAATTACTAAACTTTGATTAATTCTTTTTAGATTATCTTTTCATAATCTAAAAATGTAATTAAAAACTAAGTCAACCAAAATCGGAAATCTTAATCCTGCGCACTGGTAAAAGCTGAGACAATTTTGGCGCGTTGATTCATTAATTCTCTTTATAATTTGCATTCCGGCAGCCGGGCTATACGGCAACTTGTTTCGACCTCGCTTCCGAATTATGAGCTACCCACGCGGGGCTAATCTGACTGGCTCGTTATCCCATCCGTTGGGTTGTCATACTCGTATATCTACTGCCCTAGATAAATTCTTAACCTGGGTCAATTCGTAGAATGATTTATGCAGGACGTTATCTTTTTTGTTGGATTTTTTTTCGAAAATAGTTTAAGATTTAACAGGGGCTGCAGATTGGTTTTACTGCGTTTTATTGTCGTAAAACAGTAAAAATAAATTTTATGTCCTGAAATAACATTATTTTCAGCTATTATTTTCACAACATTAATTTTTGCTCGCAGTAATTCCGATTCTATTAATTTAGACACCACATTTCCTAGATATTTGTTAGTGTAATTACTGGTAACGGGATATCGTTAAGCGTGAATTTACTTAACGCATCTTCCGTAAATGCTCGCACCACGTTTGCTAGGGGTTAAAGGGGTTAAAGAGCCGCAACTAAACGGAAAACGCTTCGTTTGAGTTCGCGTCGCATTTGCAAATTGTCTACCAGCATCGCAGACCGCTGAATAATTTGCCTTCCAGCCTAACTCTACCAGGACAACCAACTCTCTTCCTGCGGGTTTCATCTCAAGCAATCATTTAATGGTTAATTGCAAATATACCTATAAACCCTTTGTAATAAATGTTTGAGGTTAAATTTAAACTAGGTCTAAAATGCAAACTTTCCCGCGCAAAAGTCGAACACGTCGTTTGCATTTAATGAAGCGCCTAAAATTTTCCTACATAATTTACCAGCCGCAGTAAACGCTGTCGTGCGAGCGTGTCCTTCCTGCTGCGTGCAGGTGGTGCAGGCGGCGTAGTCACTTCCCGTGCGCGCACTAAAACTGCACTCTCCGTTAAAAACGTCCAGAAAACGTTTGGCGGTGATTTATGCGCGACGTTTGCATATCCGAAACTCGAATCTGGCCGCGGGCATAATCCGCAATAAAGTTAAAGGCAACACGACATGAAAGGTAATACATTTTTTAGATTCCATGCTGTGCATTTCACGTTTTAACCTTAATGTGATTTTAATAATATAGCAAAAACAGATTTTAAGAAAAAAATTTATAAAAATCACAAACATTCACACACACATTATTTTTGTAAATTTAATTCGCTACAAATAGGATCGTTGTTTTTGTTTTTCTTTTTGACTTTACGTCAAAAACATTTGTTTTCCTCTTTATATCTCAACGATATTTAAATTTAAAGTGAAAATACTCTTTATTACTCGCTATTACAAGGCCCCAAAATAAAAACAAAACAAAATATGGCTTCTTTTATATGTACTTAAATAACTATTAAATAATTCATTCCAATAATTTGCTTGATAACCAAAAAAATTAAACACTTTTTTGATAGATATTAAAAGCTATACTTTCAAAGAATATCTAAAATTGCAATTTTTGGAAATGTAAGAAAAACATAATATTAACCTCATTGTAACTGTTTGAATTTATGATTGTTACTGCCATATGTAAACCCCCCACATAACTCAAATATGAAGAAGTATGAAATTCCGTAGAACTTCTGAATAACATAAATTCACAATTCAAATCATAGTATTCGTAGTAAGTAGATTGTTAGAGATTGCATGGCACTGTAACAATCTACATAAATTTGCCTTCAATTTACAATTGGCAATTCCTGTTGCGCACTTCATAAAATCATCTACATTCTACGATCTACAATCTACAATCTGAATGTGTATATAATATAAATTCATTTCGTTGCTTCCGCTGCCTCTTTCATATTGTTTATTCTTGTATTCATAATGCTGACGCCTGTTTACTGTCTACTGTCTCTTTTGCTTTTGCATTTTAATTTATTACGTTGTCGTGCTCCGCGTTATTTTTGTGCAGCAGTGCAGAAATGTGAATACAAATCCAAACAAATCCGATTCACCGAGTGTCTCGTTGACGTGTATTTTAAATGTGCTTTTTTCTGTTGTTGCAGTTTCTGTCGGCAGTGATGTTGAAGGATTACGAGACGGCGTTGAAATATTGCAAGCTGAGTGAGTCACGTTTCGATTTACGCTGTTTAAACATCATAAAAACGCATAAAACACGCAATAAAACTTGGAATGCAAAACACCGACGCTTCTTTTTCTTTTGTTTGAAAGTTTTTCATAAAACATGTAGGAAAACTTTTTTGATAAACTTGAAAAGAAAGTCACAAAGTTGTGTATAAAGTAAAAGGTCTTTCATCATCACAATATCCTCAGGAGATGCTGCCTTAAAACTTTGTTTAACCTTCATTATTTATATTTTATGAACCAAATGCCTTCTTCTGGGGGAATAATTTTAAATGAGTATTTGCAACATCTAGTAGGTTGGGCAAATAAAAGGAATGAAAACAGAAGAGCATGAGAACAAATGAATAATGCTACCACCTTGTATCCGTCGCAGTGCTGATGCATTATTCGTGTTGTTCATTTGTTTTCGTGCTTTTCGCTTGCAATTTAATACATCTACATCAACAAGAACACGCAAAAATAGAAATAAAAACAAAAACGATGATGAATTGTATTTTAAATGTTTCAGTACTACAGTATGAACCTAATAATATGACAGCGAAAGAGTTTTATCCGTTGATCCTGGAAAAATTGCACCAACAAAATATGTGTTAGTATATTTCCCAATAAAACACACAAAACTTTAAATACAATTCAATTTTTTAAATTATTTTAGTGACAAACGAAGATGATGACGATGAAGAAGAAAATGAAGACAGTTCTAGTAGCTCCAGCTCCAGTTCTGACTCAGAGAGTAGTTCTTCAGATGATAGTAGTGATCAAGTAAATTAACCTCAAAGTAATTTAATTTACTCGTGTCTATATTTATTTTTATTGCTTTTTAAAAGGAGGAAGATGAAGACGATGAAGAAGGACAGGATGGTCAAGAACAAGGCGCCGATAAACGTTCGAAAAGTTCTTCGGATGGCGGAGATGCCACCACGGGCAGCTATTCCAGTTTGGAGGATGACGAACCGGAAGTGGATCAACTCGCCGCGCTCGCCGCCAAGTTCCAGATCGACAACGTGAACATCGGGAACGGAAATAAGATATGTAAGTATCGATCCACTCAGACCTTCGTATTTCAATTACTGCGAACTGCGAATTCGATGATTTATAAACTCCGGAAATTGCAATTACGAACTACGAATGAACCAAAATTGAAATTTTCCGTGTTTTAATTGGATCTTTTTTTGATTTGCATGACAGATTCTACAGATTTCAAAAGCAACATCTCATCGGCAAACAAAATCTACACGAATCTGGCAGCGACAGCAAACAAGACCTTCGCCAACGAAACGAGCCTACCCTTTGGTAGTTCCGATTCTGAATCGCCCACGGAGCCTGTCAGTCAGCAGACGATAGCGATGCTGCGCGCCAAAGTGGTGCCAAACAAAAATTAACCATCCCTCTATTAACGATTCTCTTCTACTTCATTTGTTTTGTGTAATCAACGTCCTAATTAAAACTTTTAACTAGCCGACTAGCAGCAAATGTAATTGGTAAGGAAGACTAAACCAGTACAAGTACCTAAAATTATCCGTAAATTAGACAAACATAATGGTAATTGTCTTAAAATAATTACATACAAATTAATCATAGGTCCTTAAAAATTTCATAAAAAAGAATCAGACGTACCAGTATTACATAGAATTAAAATTAATTAACTTTTTCGAATATTATGGAAATTGATTCGTCCAAGAATAATTTTAATTCAAAGTTTCTTTGTGTCCATAGAAAAAGAAGAAACATACAATAAAATGATAACGTAGAATTGATAATATTTTTCACCCAGAAACAGTATACTGAATATCATCATTAATATTTGGATGGATTTAGTTGGTTTTAGTTGGAAATTGAGTAGTTTAAATATGTAGAGAGTATTTAATATACGCTGATGATTGTATAAAGATGAACGCTCGGTGGCGACAAACATGGTGATGATAATTGATAATATATTTTTGTATGTTTTGTATATTTAATTGAGTGTAGACGGTATTTATTCATACCCGCCTCTGAACATGTACTTGTAGATATCTCTATAGACTTGTAATCAGTCTTTGCAAAATTGTTTAGAAACTTTTGACCAAAAACAGAAGAAAAAGTTGACACATCTACTACACAACTCTGACACTCACGAATTTAAAATATACTTGGAAACTGCAGTCGATGAGATACAATGAAAATTGCAGCAAAGACTGAAGTAATACTTGTAATCAATGTAAACAATGAACCACGAACGTAGAAGATTCTAATGATTTTGGCTTATATATGTTCAATTCTTGGAATTTCTAACAACAACATATCTGCAAATCATAAGAATCGACATTTTAAACTCAAGCATGTAATATTGTACTTGTCCCAGTAAGATAAACTTGTATTTAATTATTGTTAGTAGTGTAATTTAGTGTAATCAACTTTTTTTAGTCTTTGATTACTTACTTAGAATTGTACGTACTGTAGTAAGGAGAGTGGAATGACGAGGCCTTCAACACAAATTACACAACACGCAATATATGCAACCAAAACAACACTAAACACACATGCATAACCAAACATAACCAGACACGTTTACTTGGCTTGATTGTAAAGAATTGCGCAACAATTGGAACCAATGCGATTTATTTGTCTCTTTGTAGATTTATTATTAGAAAAAAAGATTAGATTTTTACTTAGTATAAAAAATATTTAAATTTTTTAGTACTGTTTTGATGTTTTGCAATTCTTTTCTTTAAGATGTCCGATGTATAAATTACTAAATAAAGCATATCATTAAATATTTAGGTTTCAATTCAATTTATTGATTTTTTCATGTGCATATGCAAATGCAAAAGCGTACATTTAGTATTCATCAGCGCCTTCTCCTTCGCCATCTCCTGAATCCATACCAACTTCTTCGTAATCCTTTTCGAGGGCAGCTAAATCCTCTCTGGCCTCGGAGAATTCACCTTCTTCCATGCCCTCACCAACATACCAGTGGACAAAGGCTCTCTTGGCATACATCAAATCAAACTTATGATCCAACCTAGCCCAAGCTTCAGCAATAGCCGTAGTGTTAGACAACATGCACACGGCCCTTTGAACTTTAGCAAGATCTCCACCAGGTACAACAGTTGGTGGTTGGTAGTTGATGCCCACCTTAAATCCGGTTGGGCACCAGTCAACAAACTGAATGCTGCGCTTGGTCTTAATAGTCGCAATGGCGGCGTTGACATCTTTGGGTACCACATCTCCTCGGTAGAGCATGCAGCAAGCCATGTATTTACCATGCCGAGGATCGCACTTGACCATCTGGTTAGATGGCTCGAAACAGGAGTTGGTAATTTCCCCAACTGATAGTTGCTCGTGGTAGGCTTTCTCCGCAGAGATCACAGGCGCATAAGTGACCAACGGGAAATGAATTCGTGGGTACGGCACCAAGTTGGTTTGGAACTCGGTGAGATCCACGTTAAGAGCTCCGTCGAATCGAAGAGAAGCCGTGATTGAAGAAACAATCTGACCAATCAGCCTGTTTAAGTTGGTGTAGGTTGGGCGCTCAATATCCAAGTTCCTGCGACAGATGTCGTAGATGGCTTCGTTGTCAACCATAAACGCGCAGTCCGAATGCTCCAAAGTTGTATGGGTTGTTAGGATAGAATTGTATGGTTCAACAACAGCAGTAGAAACCTGAGGGGCCGGGTAGATTGCAAATTCCAGTTTAGACTTCTTGCCATAGTCAACAGACAAACGTTCCATCAACAAAGAAGTGAAACCGGAGCCAGTACCACCGCCAAAGGAATGGAAAATCAAAAATCCTTGCAGACCTGAACATTGGTCAGCTAGTTTGCGAGTGCGATCCAACACCAGGTCAACGATCTCCTTGCCAATGGTGTAGTGTCCACGAGCGTAGTTATTTGCAGCATCTTCTTTTCCAGTAATAAGTTGTTCCGGATGAAAAAGTTGGCGATAAGTTCCGGTACGGACCTCATCGACCACGGTAGGTTCCAAATCGACGAAAATTGCGCGTGGAACGTGTTTTCCAGCGCCGGTTTCAGAAAAGAAAGTGTTGAAGCTATCATCGCCACCTCCGATGGTCTTATCAGAAGGCATCTGTCCGTCGGGTTGGATGCCATGCTCGAGGCAATACAACTCCCAACAGGCGTTGCCAATTTGGACGCCGGCTTGGCCAACATGGACAGAAATACACTCACGCTAAAAATTAAATAAACATATTTAAATCAGATAATAATAAGATTAAATATGATTTCAAATTCAAATAATTAAAGGGGTAAGCACTAACCATTTTTAATTGGTAGTTTTATATTGCACGATGCTTTCAAGGCAAGATCGAAATATAAACTGTGGCCACGTCACCCTGCAAAACTAGGAAGCTAGGAGCATTTGCGCAGTGGCCGATATTTGCAGTCCCTACGATGGAAGTTGCGTGTACGAATGAGAAAGCGCAGGGTGTACGCATGCCTTGAACAAAATCGATACGATTGTATTGCGGTATTCACGCCGACCGCATGTCGTGGTTTGGTCAAGTAAAGTCTGCATGAATGTTTTAAGTTTTAAATTGCATGATTACCACACCTTGGCGCCGGGAAATCAACAAATGCCCTATTCCGTCATTTCTGACTCATATATTTCCCGTATGTTGGAAATATGTTGGATATAAGTTACTATAAATTATACCCAAGAGAATTACAGCAAGGATATACTAACAAGATTTCTAATTTTCTTTGACATTTTTAAAGCAAAAAATAAATCTTTTTCAAGATTTTTCAAGAATACATAATTCAGAATACTTAATCTTAGTTCATTTTGTTACCATTTTAATATCATATATTTATAATTTGATACTTAACCCCATATCGTTTACTATTTTTGTGTATATCTATGGATTTTTGGAATATTTAATAATTAAGTATTGTAGCAAGTATACATTGCGAGTATAGAACAGATACACATCGTATAAATGATTTCTTGAACTACAGCGTGACAAGAAACACGAAATATAAGCAATAGTTCAGAAGATACAGGCTGTTCCACACGTATTCAAATTTTATGAAGAATCCTAATTTTTAATAAACATTTTAGAATACTTCAAGGTTTTGAAAGATACAAAGGTATGTATAGTTAAAGGGTCTCTGAAACTACAATATGACGACAAAGAACTGAAAATAAAATAATTGATTATCAAGATGTTTTATAATTTTTAGTTACTCATGTTTTATGTATATTCTAGGGCATCTGCTAAGGATTAAAGGGTTGAAACGACAAGCGAAGTGGGATAAGTTAAAATATGAAGGTAAATATTAGAAAAATACGACTCTAGGAACACCCTTTTTGTCACAATAGTTATATATTCCTTAGCATCTGAAATCAAAGTTCGAAGTTTAAACGTAGGGTAAAATTCATATAAATTTAGTCAGACATTGTGTTTATTTTCATTTGTATCACTTTTGCAATCATCTCCGATGTATACATTAATAAATAAATATAGATAAAATATTTATACTCAGTTAATAATAAAAACATTGTACGAAAATGAATGCAACAGCCACAAGTTCAAATATGACGAGAATATTTAATACTCGTCGGCGCCCTCTCCCTCGCCATCGTTGGAGTCCATGCCAACTTCTTCGTAGTCCTTCTCGAGAGCGGCCAAATCTTCTCTGGCTTCAGAGAATTCACCCTCTTCCATACCTTCACCAACATACCAGTGGACGAAGGCTCTCTTGGCGTACATCAGATCAAACTTATGATCCAACCTAGCCCAGGCTTCGGCAATAGCAGTGGTGTTGGACAACATGCACACGGCCCTCTGCACCTTTGCCAAATCACCACCGGGAACAACGGTTGGTGGCTGGTAGTTGATGCCAACCTTGAAACCAGTCGGGCACCAGTCTACGAACTGAATGCTACGCTTGGTCTTAATTGCCTGAATAGCGGCGTTGACGTCCTTGGGCACAACATCTCCTCTGTACAGCATGCAGCAAGCCATGTATTTGCCATGTCGTGGGTCGCATTTGACCATCTGATTGGCCGGCTCGAAACATGAGTTGGTGATCTCACTCACAGACAGCTGCTCATGATAAGCCTTCTCGGCGGAGATCACCGGTGCGTAGGTGACCAACGGGAAGTGAATACGTGGGTATGGCACCAAGTTGGTTTGGAACTCAGTAAGATCCACGTTAAGAGCACCGTCGAATCGAAGAGAAGCCGTGATTGAAGAAACAATTTGACCAATCAACCTGTTCAAGTTGGTGTAGGTCGGGCGTTCAATGTCCAAATTCCTGCGGCAGATGTCGTAGATGGCCTCGTTGTCAACCATAAACGCGCAGTCAGAATGCTCCAAAGTAGTATGAGTTGTCAGGATAGAATTGTAAGGTTCAACAACAGCAGTAGAAACCTGAGGGGCGGGGTAGATGGCGAATTCCAGTTTGGACTTCTTGCCATAGTCAACAGACAAACGTTCCATCAACAAAGAAGTGAAACCGGAGCCAGTACCACCGCCAAAGGAATGGAAAATCAAAAATCCTTGCAGACCAGAGCATTGATCAGCCAGTTTGCGAGTGCGGTCCAGCACCAAATCGACGATCTCTTTGCCAATGGTATAATGACCGCGAGCGTAGTTATTAGCTGCGTCTTCCTTGCCGGTGATAAGTTGTTCCGGGTGGAAGAGTTGACGGTATGTACCGGTGCGAACTTCATCGACTACAGTGGGTTCCAGATCGACGAACACCGCACGTGGGACGTGCTTGCCGGCACCGGTCTCGGAGAAGAAAGTGTTGAAGCTGTCATCACCTCCACCGATGGTTTTGTCAGAAGGCATCTGACCATCAGGCTGGATGCCATGTTCCAGGCAATAAAGCTCCCAGCAGGCGTTACCAATCTGGACGCCAGCTTGGCCAACATGAACAGAGATACACTCACGCTAAAACGGAAAGCACAAAGAATATTAATATTCATCATTACATCATCCGTGTAGTAGCATGAAGCCTAATTTATTTTAATCTAGTCAAGTGCGCCGCAACCACGCGTCCAGTAAAGATAGAATATTCAGAAGCAATGTCAATAACCTTGAGATGGGAACCTCACACATGCAAAGGGTAACGTTTTTCTATAAATAGGTCGCAGGTAGCCGACCTCCACCCTAACTATCAAGTTTCGTTGTCGCCTTATAATTCTTACCAAGAAATTAAATGGAACAAGACAACAATTCAGAGAATGAAAACAACTTATAAACGTAAATGGTCAGAGCTCAAAAAACTGGTTTCAAACTCCATATAAAGTGTTGGAATACTTTCTGATCTCATAGTTGCATAAACATGATTCAATTTAATTGGAAACATCTGCGCAAATAAATAATTTTTATTTCTGACTCATATTTTAAGTTTGGGTAGAACAATGCTTGGCTATGTGTATTTAAACAAACAAAACTTTCGAAACGGTTTCACGCCGGCGCGCAGCATCCATTTCATGGCATGTGGCAATGGCGGCCGGCATATAACCTCAGAGTATGAACGACCCAGCTCGAGCCGTTAGATTGAAATACTGGTAGGGAGATAGCAAAACACAATTTATACAAAGTACTCACAATGAGTCAAAATTTGATTCATGAATCATTATCCAATTTAAGGCTTGACTACGCACATTATACCGCAAATATAATGAAATCAAATCTAAATCAAAGGAAGTAACGGCTTATCTACGTTTAATTGGATAAAAATCGCAGTATGAAGATAATTCCCGCCGACCCTGTTGATATCTCCAACCGTTTTCTGAGAATACGAACGACGCCATTGACAAAAACGCCTAGCTCATTGCGCAAGAAGTAAAACCCGTAATTACTTTTTTAGTACGCAACTAACGGTTAACAACGCATTTGTTTATTGTTCTACAAGTTTTGTTCCTAATCCAACAACGATTGACCTTAGAATACCGTTAAATTGAGCAATATATTTAAAAAAAAATATATGAATACACCCTATTACACTCTAATCTAATTAATATTAATGCTAAGATATTATTAATTGTTTAATGAATCACGTGCTGGGAAATAAAAAATATTTTTAGATCTCACTCACCATTTTGAATCAGTAGTTATATCGTCGATGCTTTCAAGGCAAGATCGAAATATAAACTGGCCACGTTACGCCGCAATTTCAGACTCTAGGCGTTGTCGGTCCAATCTGGAGAGGGGACGCGCATTTTACAAGCATCTAGCGACATCTTTACGCAGCTGATTGTAGCTATTAAAGGATTATTTCCAATTTAGTTTTGTAAGACTGACAAGTTTCATACATATCAAATTCTGTGCATCAAATCTCTCTCATTTTGTACAATGTGTCAATAAAATTTACCTACTATGTTGAATTCCTCTGGTTTTCTACTTGAAATCGTCGTCTTCCTCGCAGGATGTTGCATAGTTTTGTTTGCAATAGGTGTAGAAACGGTAAAAAATTTCTTTCTGCGACAAGAAGCACGTCCTGTTCCTCAAGACCGAGGTGATAATCACAAACATGCTCCATCAAGAAAGTCCAGTCGTCAGAAGCGCCCTACTCATTCCGGTCTAAGCCAGTTAAATGGTTACTCTTTAGATTGTAAGGCTACACATTACAACCATTAGAACTTTTACATCATCTGTTAATTGAAACTGTTAGCCCAAGATCAAACAACGCCGGATCAATGGCCTGGTCAATATCGAGCCGCAACAGGTTTTCTACAATCCCCTATAAACCTAAGATCCGCAAATATTCTTTATATACCACCGGGAATTCAGTGCCCTCTCAAATTCAATAAGCAGTACTTTACGCATCCAAGAAGTATGACCCTTCTGAATGATGGGTATAGCATCATATTGGGAACGTGTTATCCTAATGAATATCCTATATTGAGTGGTGGACCACTTCAAAACTGTTATAGATTTAATTTAGCTCAGTTCAAATGGGGTCCAACGAATGACGAAGGCTCTGAACACACCATCAACCATAAACGGTTTGCAATGGAAATGCAATTAATGCACATCAAGGGCGAAAAGGTGTATGCCACCTTAGAAGAAGCGGTTACTCATAGAGCAGTTGTGTTTCTTAGTTTTTTATTTGAAGTATATCACAAGATAAACATAAAAATGATGCAAGAAATTTAAAAATGTAAACTTTTAGGTTACAAGACAAGATAATCCTTTTTTAGCTCCATTAGTAAATCATCTTCATGATGTGTCAACTCCAAACACAACTTATTCCATAGACCCATTTCCATTGTGTTGGTTATTTCAACCGTTCAAATCGAAATATTTCCATTACGAAGGATCCATCACTTGTCCGCCATGTACAGAAGGTGTAGATTGGTTGATACAGCCGGAACCAATGTGCATATCAAATCGACAAGTAATTATAAACCAATTATTGAAAATCATCAATTTGATACAATACATTTTTAGCTGAACGCATTCAGAAGTATAAACGGTTTTACGGGTCCTATATTGAACAATGCCAGACCAGTTCAAAAATTAAACAACCGAACAGTACAATATTTTATGTGATGCAACCTAAAATAAACAATTACAACAAAAATTGTATTTGAATTGACATTTGAAATGTCAGAAATGTTTTACATAATTTTTAACATCCCAGTGGACAAATGATTTATTTATTCTTGTACCTCTGTGTCTTACTGAGTACTTTTCCGAAATCAGCACAGGGTAAATCAGGTGCCATTTGTAATAGCACAGGTGCTAAAGGTAAGTGTGTAGCATATAAAAGATTTTATTTTAATATGTAGTGAATTTAAATAGATATTCTAACTGAAGACAGACCAATTAATGATAAGTACGACGTGCGCCCGAATCTATTCATAGACAGAGATAATCTCCTAGGAAAAACCAGTCATGATCACAAAAAAGAGTTTTCGTACGGAAATGGTCCATATGGGTGTGCACATTGGCCAAAACTGTTTCCTAAATGCGGTGGAAAGCATCAGTCACCCATAAATATCGATATAGCCAATTTGAAAACGATCACTTTGCCCAATTTGAAATGGAATAACTTGTATGAAGAAATACCTGAAAAAATGAGTGTATCAAACACTCACAATACATGTAAATATATCAAATATTACAAAAAATAATAATAATTATTGATTAAAATGCATTTATTTATAGTAGTTTTGGAAATGGTTTATAATGGCAATCATCGTCCCCGGATTTCCGGTGGACCATTGACAAAACCGTATTCATTGAAATCCCTGCATTTTCATTGGTCAAGCTCAGATCACAAGGGATCCGAACATACCATCAGTAAGAAAAGCTTCCCGATGGAAATGCACGTGGTTCATTATCGTTCTGATTTGAACTTTTCTAATGCAGCTGTTCTGGATAAAGGACTATGTGTGATTGCTTATATTTTCGAGGTTAGATATAAATAACCTTACTTAACGTAATACTCTTTGTTTTTTTTTCTATATTCTGTCATAGATAAGCAACGATAAATGTAATGATGCATTAACAAGTATTCTCTCAGTGGCTGAAGAAAACACAATGGAGAAAGACATAGAAGTAGATTTGACCAATCTTTTCCGTTTGGATTCCCTGGTAGATACAATCGACAGCGAGTATGTGACTTACTCTGGCTCGTTGACTACACCTCCATGTCATGAAAGCGTCATCTGGATAATTAGCCCGTACACAATTACTATCGCTAAAAAACAAATCGAACGCTTTCGACAAATCTCCATGGCTTCCGGTGGATTTGGCGATAATCATAGGCCCATACAACCACTCAACGACCGTGTTGTAAACTTTGTTAAATCAAACAAGCAATAATAGCGTTATCTATGATTAATATAAACAAAAACAAAACAAAATATTAATTTGTCAAACACTATATTTTATTATTATTACTAGTTCAGAAGCAATAGTAAAATGTCGATTAAACCAAGTGCGACTCCGCCTAAAATACAAGAAGGAAAATTGAAAGTTTCTTATGGTAGTAAACAGTATGTTGGTCAATCATGGAAGGATATTATTTTTATTCCGTACAACCGACTTGTAATGTTTACTTTTATGGCCGCCACATACATGTCAGTTATGTACAACGTCTATCTGTTGACCTACTTGCCCAAAGAGCTTCCATTTTTGGTACGGTTAATATTTGAATATGGCTGTGAGGTGGTATACTTTGTTTGCGTCGTCGTCATCATTTTGCATAGATTAATGAAAACACACAGGCAAAGAATGATTTATAAGCCAGTGCCACTCTTTTTAATCGCAGTGGATTTTATCAGCATTCTACCTTTGCGGATTTTATATGCCACAATCAACCGATATACATGGAAAATGTACTTTTCTGAATATCAATTGCAGTTTAATCAATGTTATTTGAAGTTTGCAAGAATCATTCGGATTATATTCTTTTATTTTGTAAGTTTTATCCTCAAATACTAGTTTGATTAACTAAATACGTTTTATTTGAAGGATTTAAGAGGTAATTTGACCAATAATCAAACTGTTATTATAATTGTGTGTCATTTATTGGGTTCTTTCATGGTAATATTTATATTGGCCTCTGTATATCACTACATTGGATTGACCACACCAGTTAATGTAGCTTCATGGACAAATCACTGGGTCAATGCAAATATCACATTGAATAATATGAGTGACACAACATGGTTTATCATTTGTATTTATGAGATTGCTGGATTATATTACAACAATTCACTAGGTAATTCAATATATTTCAAGTTTTTAATTACAACTTATTTTTTTCCTGTTTTTTAGAATTGATTCGATACACGAACATGAATGATACATTGCTTATTTTCATAGCGATGCTACTTGGTTTTATTTCGCAATATACCTTTTGTTAGGCACCCTAACTTCCGAGGAACTTCAAGGTATGCGAGGAAAATACAATCTTCAAATTCGACTCACTGCTGCTAAAAAGCTAATGACTATTTTGATGATGCCCGAACAACTTCAGCAAACCGTGCAAGATTACTACGAAACTATTTGGAACTATCGTTTAGGGGTAGTCACAATGCCCAGTATTGTGGATAGACTTCCACCTTTTATGAAGTCCGAAATTCTTACCGACATTTACTGGGAAGCTCTACTTCATACAAAAATATTTGATAATGTCAGCAATGTTTTCCGGAAAGTAATCGCTGAACAGATGAAAACCGAAATCTACATGCAAGGTCATCTGGTTTTTCGCGACAAGGATATTAAAGCTAAATTGGTATATCTTCAATCGGGAATGTTAGAAATTTACAACGTTGACGCGGATGACTCCAGAATAACCCTAAGCAGTGGCTCTGTACTTTGTGAAGTGTCTTGTATACAATGTATGAAATCTACTGCTAACGTAAAATGTCTCACCAATTGCACACTGCATGTTCTGTACATGGTAGATTTCTACAAAGCGCTTCTGAAGAGCTACTCCCATGAGTTTAAAACAATGCGAAACACATACCACACCAGAGTGAATTATTGCAGATCCAAGTTAAACTATGTTGGTAAACAAGTGCGCATGTCACATATGCGCTGGGTAAAAACACAATGGCGTAATTTGTTTGAATCAAAGGAATCCACATGTGATAAACACTTTACATCCAGATTCCTTGATTTGATTGCAATTATTAGCACCAAAGTTGATCCAAGTGCATTTTGCTTAAGAGGAAAATGCCCATTTGTTATGATGTCTGGAACTGCGCTCTCCGCCTTCTTCTATTACCTGTGCTTATGTGCAACTCTGATCAATTTTTTCTTTACTTTCCGAGATATTTTCTTTGAAGGCCGATTGGAACTAGAAAACTATAAATATTACGTCCTGATTGATTCTATATTCTTTTTGGATATATACCTGCAAAGCATCAGTACAATCAAGACTTTTAGTCACGTGATTGATCAACCATATGATATTCTAGTCTACAAATTAAAGAACATTTTCTTTCTGTTGGATCTGGTGGCTTCTATACCCTTGGATTATTTGGGTATCATAGCAAAACTTCCACCGAAATGGTTGTGCGTAATGAGACTTAATCGTTTTATAAGATTGTATAAAACAATTCAATTTTTCTACTACCATGAAAAAAGAGTGACTCCATATGCAGGGCTGCTTAAATTTTTCAAGTTTGTGCTTTATCATGTGCTGCTTGGACTTTTGAGCACATCAGCGGTATACCTCTGCAATTGTTTCGGAGACGAATGTCAGCCAACTGGATTTGTTGCAATATTGAAAGCAAAACATCTTGAAACCATGGGCTACAATATCAAAATCAGTGACTTTTTCATATGCTTGTATTATACAATCAATATCTACATGAAGTTGGTGCTCCGAGTGTACAGTCAGTTCCTTCTGTCTGATTTGGTGATAAAAGTAGTTATCATAATCATAAGTTACTATATGCTCACCATTAAGCTGGCGCAGATTTGTGCCCTGGTTGGGCTCCGATACGAAAGAAGTCATCTTCTTCAAGAACGCGTTGACATGATTGATATACGTGTACAGGAAAACAAAGAACTAAAAAAATACAAAAATCGTCTGGTTGAATGTCTGTCAGCTGAGTGGAGCATCAGTGATGATTTACGGTTTCATGATTTATGCAGTATTACACACCAAGAATCCGAATTTCTGCGTAGGAATGTAAATGACGAGTACATTTTATGGATTCTAGAACAAACTGATTTTTTCAAACCTTTTCCACGCGACTTTCGATCTCACCTGGCACATCATAGTCAAATATTTCTTATTCCTGAAGGACACGAATTGATAAAGTTTGAATATCGGTGCTTTTATTTATATATTGTAGTCCAAGGCTTTTGTGTTGGCAAATCATACACTGCTGGAGACTTAGAAAAAAATATTGACACATGGTATAAACGCTTGGATGTTTTTCCACTTTTGGAATACCTGCATCAAGTCGGCAGTCTGATGGACGTCAAATCGCACACTGCTGTACAAGTGATAACAATTCCCTACTCTGTTTTTCAAGCATGTATCAGTGTTTATAATCGAGAAGTTATGGTTCTCAATGCCGCTCTGAAAGCGCATGGTCGACAATTTATGGGATTGCTGACTGGCGCAACCGCTTCCAAGGCGGATGAAGAGGAAAAACGCAAACTAAACAAGGCAACCATGTTTCAATATACCATTCGTCGACAACACTTGATATTGGATATTACCAATTGCTCCCAACAACAGTCTCGCGACTCTGCATTTCTAAAGTATCGCAAAATTCTCAAACAAATTGCCTACAGCACGTACAGCCCGAATAGCAATTATTACATTGCATATGAAATATTTCGCTGTCTATGCATTCTTCTGGACGTAAACATTATATTTTTTCTATGCGTAGCAGAGGTGTACAAGAATAGTTGGGCTTTATCGATTACCTACGTCATGTATTTTCTTTGGTTCTGCGACATGATCATTCAAGCTCATTTAGAATATTATAACAGTTACGGTATACTGGTTCAAGATTTGAAAGCCACTTCAATGTACTATTTGAGACATTCGTTCCTGCTTGAATTTATAGGCGGTATGCCATATGATTTGTTCAATCTGATTGCGTTTGTACGACCTGCACGACGCTTGTCCGTCGAAATCATGATACTTATGACTGCACGGCTGATATTACTGCTCAGGCCAATTCAATTCTCAGTGTATCTTCAAGGCGATGGGGTGACAAGAACACAACGATTCTTAAAATACATTACCATAGTCCTGATGATTTACCATTTTATAAGTATGTATAAACGGTTTAATGTCAGTAAAAATGCAATGTTTTGAAACTGTCTGTTACAGTGTTTCTGGCAGCAATGAAGCTTTTAATAACTTGTGACATTGATGAGGACAGGCATTACCTATGTCCAGAAACCTGTTGGATTATGGTGAGACAATTGTTTCTGGATTGGGATGAGTCTAAATTTTTCTGGATTTCTTTTCGGTCCATTTTGGTTACGGGTGTGAGCATTGCGGGACCACTAAGTTTGGAATCGGACCATGTGTTAACTTTGGTGATTGGAGTTATAGTCATTTTAGTACGGATTGCTTTACTTAGCAAAATAACTGGAGATAATGTAATATGCACTATCATATCATTGTTAAAATTGTTAAAATCCACTTTTTTTAGTGTAATCGTCAATTTGCATTAGTAGAACACCAAGACGCCATGAAAAGATACAATGTTTTCTTTCGCGATCGTCTTGTCAGCAACAACACAAAGAGTGAGATGTTGAATCACTATAAGAACATTTGGCAAAAATCGTACTCTGATAAATCTAGGAAGATATTTGATAATATTTATCCGTTTCTGCGTGAAACACTTTTATTGACCATGTACAAAACGGCTGTTGCAAAGTGCATTTTATTCAAGGATCAGAATGTTGTTCTTTTTAAATTGTTTATTCCACATTTAGAAGAGCGATACTACGTGAAAAATGCTCCAATAATTCGTACAAATGATGTTCAAGGCAATATCTTTATTGTGGTCAAAGGTCAAGTGGAAGTAACAATGGCAAGCTGTCGTTTGGCTCATCTTGGATCTGGCGGACTCTTTGGATGCTTTGAACCACTCGGTTTAAATCGTCATACAATGGCCTTTAAAGCAGTGCGACACACCAATGTGCTTGTAATTAAAGCACCACTCTTCTACCAACTGATTAAAGGATATTCTAAAACCGAAAGCCTAATGAGAAGAATGAGAGATACTCAATTTCAATATGCAACAATGGGTGTAAGGAAATTTGATATTCATGATTCAATGGCAAGTGCCGAATCGGGACACACCAGTCTAAAGGCAGAAAGATTACAAACTCTTTACAGACTGTTTTTGTACGTTACCAATGTGCATATTGCTCCCATTAGTGCTTACTGCGTGCTGGTCAATAGCCAAGTGGAAATTGGAGTAATGCAATTTTTACCATTGTAAGAATTACGTTAGTAATTAGAATTTTGTGAGCTGTTAACACCAATCTTAATTTTTAGATGGATTGTTTTGGATTTGTATTTTTCACTGTGTTTTATTATCCGTGGAAGACAAATCAAAATCGATCACAAAACAGGCGTCATCATAAATCGTCCAAGGGAACTACAGTTTCAATATTTGAAATCATTTCTCTTTTGTGCTGATATATTAACTATTCTGCCCGTTTATTTAATCAGAATATGGTGGTTCAGGTACTTGGCAGATATTTATTTATTAAATTGATTTTAACTCACAATATTGTAGCAATTGGCATCAATTGGTTTTTTTGTCCAACAAACTCTTTCGTTTGTACTTTCTTTACCACCAGTATCAAAAATACGTCCTAGCCAAAAATATACCACGGCATATACAATGGACCTTGCTTGTTTATTCAACATTCTTTTTAGCTCATGGTATTTTTATCATATGGTAGGCACCTTTGAGTTTAGTCTACTTATATGTAATTAAAGGAATTTTATTATTCTTTAGGTGGTTCATTTTGGAAATGCCATATGAAGAAAAAATCACAACGCGCTTTTTATTCTTGGGCTATATTAACATGATGAATTACGTATCTACATGTGGACTGTTAATTATCTCTGATCATCAGGCTTCCTACGTGGTTCAGTTGACTATTGACATGGTACTGGTAATCATGAGTACTGGTTTGACCATTGCGCTTGCAATGTTATTTACCAAGAGTGTAATTTCGGGAAATTCCTACGAATGTGTTTACCGCTATCGTGCGAGATTCTACAAGCAATTTTGTCTCGTGTCTAATGTATCCGATGCGTTGGTAGCGCGTACCTGGAACTATCTTCATTTTATCTACAAGAAGCAAGGGGGAGAACAGTTTCCCAAACTGTACGAGCATGCCCCAAAGTACCTTAAACAGGAGCACATGCAGAGCTTATTCGGGAGGCATTTTACGGATCATCCGCTCTTCTATGATTTGCATGTTGATCTTCTAAGTCAACTACAGACGTATATAAAGTGCAATTATTTCATGCCTGGATCGATAATAGTTGAGAAGGGTAGCAAAAATGGAGAGTTTTATTTTATTGAAACTGGAAAAGTGATAGCTATTCGTAAGTTGATATTTTTGTCAATTTCTGGATAATTAAGGGACCTCAATTTGTTTTTATTTTGCAGAATCGACCAGTGATGACGACCCTAATCCATTGTACGAAACTTTGGGACCAGGTAGCTCTTTTGGCGAAGTCCAAGCTTTCCTAAATTTGGAGCATACTAAAACATACAAGGCTTTGTCTTCAGTTGATCTGATCGCTCTCGCCATTAGTGATTGGGAGTACTTGTTAGAGTGGTTTCCTGCATCGAAACAAAAATTGCTCAATCGTGTTCAAGAACATGCAGATATTCTCAAATATACATAGGTTATTTAGTAAGTTCTTTTGTGATATTTTGCAGTAAATCAATTTTTCCATTTGATTTTTAGTTTGCTTTGCATTGTGCTATCTTGTCGTTTGGGTTGCATACAGTCAACCGATGAGTTGTCCATTTATAAGTGTGGTAAAAGATATCGTAAACGTAAACATTCTAACCTGCAAAGTCTTCATTCCTTTTGTTATTATTTAATAAAAAGTATTGGCTACACACATAATATTTAAAGAAAATGGCTGGTTCGAGCTCAGTTCGAGTGTTATCCTTCTCCCCGGATAAAACACACAGCGAATTCGAAAGGTAATTACCTCTTTATTGTTCCTTAACTTTTAACACATGCAATTTCAATATGGACTGTATATTTTAGATGGGTGTGCATTTATCCTGCATACATCAACAAAAAGAAGTCTATTCAGCAAGGCCGACGCATTGCGAAAGAGAAATGTATTGATAATCCCACTCATCAAGAGATCAGAGATGTGCTAGTTGCAGCAAACTTGAAAGTTGGTGTGGAAAACAAACTCTACAGCAGAGAAAGAAGTAAAGAACTTTTACACCGTGGCCGTATTCGTGTACAACTAAAGAATGATGATGGCGAGCTATATAATGACCAATTTCCATCCAGGGAGAGCCTTATGCTGCATGTTTGTGAAATGATTCCCAAACTAAAGTCAAGACAAGTGAAACCTGGTGGAGAACAGCAACAGCCTGCACCCAGTACTGGTGGTGGCAAGGGCAAAGGCAAAAAAGGACGTCGTTAGCTACTGATTATCATTTTTGTTTGGCATGTATTTTTATTTACGTTTGTTTGCAATAAATCAATCACATTTGAGTTAGGCAACCTATTGCATCCGCACACTTATTTTATAGTAAATGTATATTTGTATTGTCTTTTATTATAAAATAGTTATATTTAAATAAAAAGTCTCTGTTTTCATGTAAAGGAGGAAACAATCTTCAGGAACTGGGCACTTATATTCTCGAATTGCCTAAGGCGCAATTCACCAGGAGAATTCGTCATGATTGCTAGTGTAAACTACCTATATGAAGCTACAGTGATTGCTAGATGGCTTTGTCGAAAATATTTCGTCGTCCCTTGGCAAAATACACTGTCCTGCCATTGAGTGGCTGCACTTGCCGATAATTTGATGCGTTGGCTATTAAACGCCGAGGCGCTAAAGACCTAAACATACTGAGTTGTTTGTTCGATATTTTCAGTACGTTTGGCGAAATAATCCACGTGACTACTTCATTACAATCACCAGTTGTTAATGATCCTTGATATGTAAGGAAGTTGAATTGAAATGGTATCGCCAGATTGTTTATGGAGAACTTTGTCAGCATTTGCTTCGGTCGATTGACAAATTGTATTCGCTTCATTGTTTTTGCCAAGATTGAAAAGGGATTTTTTGGTTTACGTCGCTCTAAATACTCCGGCAACACCTGCAATTACATTTATTTTTTTTAAGTCTAAAAATAGTTTGTTGGGTTTGCTTACATCAATAAAGTAGCCAATAACAGCAATGCCTTTAGGGTCAGCTTTGGCTTCGTCCATTGTTAAATTTCCCTTCGTCATTACGACGTGCATCTCCATCGGATATGACAGGCCATTTAGGGTGTGCTCACTGCCTCTGTCATTGGTTGTACTCCAGTGGAAGTGTATGCTGTGCAGCTTGTAGCAGGCCTGCAAAGGACCTCCCGCTATATACGGAGTTTGCCAAAATGTTGATGTTATCACCACTAAAATTACAAACAACCAATAAAAGTGCCATCAATATGGAAATGTAATTGGTTGTACCTGTATGATTATCAACTGTTACATCTTGTGTTAATGGTTCTTCAAAAAATCCACTGCCCCAATAAAGACCTTGTTGTTTTGTGTATGTGACTGAAGACGTAACAAGGTCAATGGGACTTTGTCGGTTTCCCCCGCAGAATTCACCTAGAAATTAAAATAAATGAAATTTCGTATAAATTACATCGAAATAAAATGACATTGATTTAAAATTAATTAGCTTCACTTGCAAAAGCAAAGCCAATTTTTTTGTTACGAATGCAAATTTGGCGAAACCGGGCCAGTTGAATTGCATCAGCTTGCCAAGCTTGAGCAGACAAATATATTATTACAACCAACAGCCCATGGATTATATATCACTATTATAATATGTAATATAATTGTATATTTATATTTATTTCTATTTTAATTGTAAACTGCAACTTTGCAATTATTTATTTCGTTATACCTGCATTTGAGTCATGCAGACGCATGATTCTAGCTTTGTTTAAGGTTGTTAACTCTTCAATTTTACTTAATCTTGAAAATGTTTTTTGAAAATTTTTCAAAATGAAAGTCTTTGATTGCAATATACAAAATCTTCCAAGATAATTCATCACACTGAGACGAATATTTGCTCTTGATGTGATGTTTGGGAAAACGAAATGATTTTGAATGAGTTGATTCTGTGCGGAAGGTTCATTATAGTTTTGGTGATAATTTTAACATTGTGCGTTGATAAAATACAAAAATTTAGGTGAAGAAACAAATAGTGTAATTTACAATGAATTTATTTTTGACGTCTGTCAACAGCATAAATAATAAAAATTAGTTGACTTTGAACGTTTTTCAATGAGTGTACTTTGATAGCGCATAGTACAAGTAGATGCATCGAAGTAAAATTAAAAATATGAATGTCAAGCATAATTATAATTGATTTTGGGTCTATTAGTCGAGGTGCGTTGGGCAATTGTCCGCCCAAAGTTGCCCAACGCATAATCAGCATTTCCTGCGCACCGTCGTCGTAAAAATGAGAATGCAATGCCGCAAATCGCGCATACTACACACTCAGCATACACATTTAAGTGACATTAACTTTTTCACACACGGACGAGCAATTAAAAAATTAAGCCAACGGCAAACAGACATTTAGACAATGAAACTAATATTCACGATTCAAATTGGCATACTCGCAATGGGTAAGTAAAGTTTTATCCGTATTTATTTTCAGAGGAATCGCCGAATAAAATCAAATAAAATTTGTTCAAATCAGAAGCATGCGCGATAGTGATTCCTGATTGCGAATCGGATTTGCTCAACTGAGTTGTGTTTATTTTGTAGTTTGGCGAGTTGAGTGTGCACCGAAAATCCCCCAGGCGACCACGCTTGCCGCCCCCGCCGCCTTCGTTGCCGCATCCGTCGCCCCCGAGTGGTATTGCGAAACTATTTGCGCTGGCGGCTGCGGTGGCCGTCCACGTTACGACACCCGCAAGCTAGTTTGTCGATGCACAATCAACGAACACATTGATGGTAAGAACTAAAGTATACAGACTGAAATTTAAAAAATAATACGTTAAAATACTTGATTCTCGGCGTTTCCTAGATGATGATATGGCATTGATACAAAAAACAGCAAAAATTGTTGATTTGAAGATTAAGTTTTATGATATTACAAAAGTCAAACGCTCCCTCAGTGAATCTTCAGAAGAAAAAACTGTAGACGATGAAGATCAGAAAGAGAAAACTCCAAAACGAGTTCCAAAGAAATTTGTTTTTGGTCCTCAACCACTCAAACCCCTCAAACCCTTGTTTGCTGACTTAACTGCACGTTTCCAAAAACCTGACGAAGAAGATAATGTACCTGTTGAGATTCCCGTGGACTCAAAAGATGCGACCTTAGGTCAAATTGACCCAACTATGTATGATTCCGAACCTATTCATAATATTAACATGGCCCAACACCCTGCAGGTATGCCCCTTTTTGGAGGACCCATTCTAGGTCAGATGAGCCCTTCAATTAAAGAAATTGAACCTCATCACAACATTCAAACAGGGTTTCCAAGCATCCCCGCTGCATTACCAAGTCTCCCACTTCATTTCCCAGTTCATGGCTATCCTGCTCATCTAACACCTGCATTAACAACGTCATTGTTAATGAACGTGAGAGAAAAATTGGATAATTTATTGTTGAGAACTCAACAATATCCATATCAACCGGCGGTGACGGCCCATGAAACAGAGTCCATGAGAAATACTTTGAAGCAGATTACTCAGGTCAATGTCAATGTCAGACCCGAAAGAAAAACTTGGGGGTATATACTTAACAACTTGGTTAATCAATTGGCGCCTATGTTGAGAGCAGAGGCACCTAATGCAGAAGTAGATGGTCAAGAAGTGGTAACTGAAGGTATGGTAGCACCAAATACAAAAACTAAACAGTCGGAACATAAATCGCCTAAAAATGGAAAGGTTCCGGTAGAGTTAGGAAAAAAGACCAGTACCAAGAGTCCAACTAAAAAGATAAACACTTCAGAGGAAGATACTACAGAACAAGAAGTGCATTCTACCGAAACAGCATCTGCATCATCAACCACCGCATCAACCACTACCACTACTATACCAATAATATCTCTTCAACCTATTGAGCAGGTCGTACCAACTACGAGTATGTTGCCAATTGAACAAATCTTTACCACTCCCAAACCGATCAAGACTCAAAGCACCACCCCCAAATTTCTTTCAGTTGAAGACGATGATGAAGTAGTAGGAGCTGCTGCTGAAGATTACCTCTATGAAGATGACCACCATTTAGACTAATATTTATAACCTTAATTTTGTTACGTTTATACAAAATTATTATAAAAATAAAACAATTGTATTATTTGCTGGCAAAAATAAACTTTATTTAACGTTGTACCATAACCTGAGATTTTACGTAAAGAAATCTTTTAGGAACCATTAACAAACAAGTTCTCTAATAAAATGATAAAATCGTTTAAGGCAACTTGGGGCGTTCAACGAGAGAAAGCCTGCGGCTATTCATTGGCTGCACATAACGGTAGTTGTTAGCTTCCTCAACCAAATGCTTGTCATGCAAGCTCCTGAAAACATTAATCTGATCGTTTGTCATCTTCAGGATTTTCGGGGCGATGATCCAGGAAACAACTTCGTTGCAATCGCCAGTGGTCAAAGAACCTTCATAAGAAATGAAACCATAATTGAAGGGAACTACAAGTTTGTTAATGGCAAATTTGGTCAACATATCTACAGGTGTAGACTTTGCGGTAAGGGTATTAATGGTGTTGGTGAGGATTACAAATGGATTGTTGCTGGATTGAACTTCATTATTGCTGACCTAAAATTGAAATATTTGGTTTAGGTTAAGTCTTGTTTTAGACACCCAGTATAGTATTACATCAATAAAGTATCCAATGACGGCAAGACCATTGGGTGAGTTCTTAGCTTCTTCAAAGCTAAGGTCATTTTTGGTGTGCACTACGTGCATCTCCATTGGGTAAGCCTTGCCATTTACAGTGTGCTCACTACCAACATTGTTATCAGTACCCCAGTGGAAGTGAATACTGTGCAGTTTGTAATCAGTGCTCAATGGACCACCAGTTAATCTTGGTGCCACGTTCTCATTATTGGAAAGAATGACAACTATAAATCATTATAATTAAAATCATTGATGAACAAACGAAAAACTGTTTTTAAAATACTTGAATGGCCATCGGATTGGACTGTCTGGGTAGCTGGTACTTCAGAGTATCCGCTATTAAAGAAAACCCCAGCAACACGAGCTTTGCTCAAAGATCTGGTGTCCAGGTCAATTGGACTTTGGCGAATGCCAGAGCATTGCGCACCTAGAAGAATTACAATCATCGTGATTACACCGGAATAAAATACAAAACAATGAAAACATAAATCATGCTTACCTGTTCACCGATCCAATACATTTTAATAACATAAAACAATAAAACACAAATTTATGATACACACGTAATTTTACTTTTACCAACACCAACATTAAACATAGATAACACCATTTTTTTCTTTTTTACCAGACATGTTAAATGTTCACCTAGGGAATGTTGATGGTAAGCTCTCCCCTGACAAATTACCTTTTGACATAATCTGACATAACCTCATCTTGTTCCCCCCACAAAAATTCCGACCACGTTAACCTCGCAATTTGAATGTTGTGCATTTTTGTACAAAAGAAAAATTACCATTTTAATACAATCGGCGGAAATTAAAAAGTTTCGCGTATCCATTTTCGCTTATCTCGTCATCTCTTTTATCTTTTTGTACGCGCGCGCGCCCTTACGAACTTTTTCGATGTCGACGCGGGTGTTTTGGGGTCTGTTTGCAATGCTCGCAATGTTGGCAATCATAATGATGATGATGCAATTAAATCCGGGCGGCTTGCCGGATAGTCTCGACGGGCTTCGCTTGTTTGAGGAACGAAACATCCGGGGAATACGCGCGAGTCAATAAGGTTAACAAAGTACTTTCATTCCATTCCTGTTCGACACGTGCAGATCATTTTTCTGTTAGGAGGTTAACTTTAACAGCCTGCCGGCAATTGTACAAATCTGCTCGGAGCAAATTACTTCAAACAAATTTTATCTTCCAGATAAATACATAAAAATCTAAAGTATTTTAATGATTAAATTTGAAATTTAAGCGCAAATATATCACTTTAAATGTATCACCTATCGTCACCTTAGCGTGCGCTATTTCTTTCCCGTTGATTGCATTATCATAAACTCTCAGTGTGATCTCACTTCACGCACCGAGTGAAAAAAAAATAACTGAAATGGAAATAGTTGTCTGACTGATAGAAGTTCTGTCTTTGGACCACACGTCGGAAAAGCGCTGCAAGGGTCGAGCTCGTGTCGATTTTTCGAAAACGGTCCCCGAAGGGACGCCATCCATACATAATTCAACAAAAGTACCCAGCGAACAGGCGGCAGGCACCAGGGAGGAAAGACGGTAAAAGGGACCAATTTGCAATTTACATTATAAAATCTATCCGGGAGCTGTGAGGAAATCCACTGCCAATTTCATCAACTTGCAGCTGTTCTATAACTCATGAACAACTTTTTGAAAAAAAAAACTTAAAGAAAAACACCACGTTGAGATGTTGATGATGTTTTGAATGGGCTTTGATGATTTCTGCAATTTTCATCTCTTGTAACAGAATAAACTGCTTCATTTATCTTTAATATTATCAACTGTTACGTTAGCGCAATGTAGTTTGCTGTCAGCTTTGATTTGCTGATGCGTCAGCCCGCAGCTCGCGGACTTTGCTATCATCCCTCATCCTCGGCGAGTTTTGGGCTGATATAAACGCGCATTGTTGACAATAAATCCCGAGGTCTTCATCAAAAAGACGTTAAACTCGTTATCTCGTCGCGATTCATTCACGGCCCAACAATTCTCCGGTTGTGTCTCGGCGTTCTTCGTTTATTTCCAGGCGGATATTAAATGTAAAAAGCGGCTTTAAATCTGCGGCCACATGCCCGAATGATTAGAATTTCTTAACTACAATGTGGTTTTTATACGTTTTTTAAAGCTTTCAGCTTCTGGTCTTCATTATTTTTCAACATTTTCCTTCATCAATGGCAACCAGAAAAAACATTTAGATATTTCTCGTGTCGCATTCGAAAGAGAATTTGCAATACTTGACTTTCCGTTTTGAAATGAGTTTTTTATATATACCGTTAAAGTGAGCATTAACAACGGCAACGTTTGTTGTAAAACAAAAAAAGGAACTGATGTTAAGTTACATTTTTCGCATTATTCGTCAGACGGTTTCTTTAATTCCGCCTCTTCACTTCGGTTCGTTTTTTACGGCCGGTAATCTGCTTGTTTTAATCATCTTTTTCCGCCCCGGTCGGCGGCTGTTCGTAGCCCTCCATCAGCTGGATTTTCACAGGAAAATTCCTTTTTGCGACGGGTTTTACGGCGGTGCAGTCAGGGCGTAACATTAGGAACATCAAAAACTCGCTGTCTCGACGCTGGGCTCGTTTTTCTTTTTTCGCTGCATTATGCTGGAACTTCCGGCTCGGCGATGTATTAATTGCTTTCGGAGGTGCCCGCAAGGGTTATTATCATCATGCACATAAGCGCCTTTTGAATATTCTTAATGTTTGTTTACATTTAAATGAGAAATTTTGGCAAAAACTCATTTTAAAACGTTTTTATTCACTACGTATATTGTGTTGCATATATTTCTATGCGACTTTGTGGTTAGTGGCTAAAGGTTCTTTAAAATGAGGTTAGGACCTGTTGTTCATAAAATGCACACACAAAAACCATTGCCCTCATGAGTTCCGGTCGCCGAAAGGGTCTTCATAAACACAGGCCACCCTTTTGCGGCGTACAATAGAGGTCAAAACCTGATTTGCTTGGCGGCGGTTTTCGGGGCGCGTAATTGAATGATAAATCACGACGCGCGCGGTCGCTGCCGAACGCCCACCACTTTCTCGCGCATTAGCATCGACCACAGAGGCATGGCTAATGTATTATCAAAATGAATGAAGGCGCCAAAAACACAATGCCCTAATATGCAAAAAAGATCGCGCTATGCTGCCACTCCTATGCCAAGCAACCGGACATGTGATTGAAAATGATAAGCATCCAAAGATTCTCAATCTAAATTTAATCCATTAACCAAAGGTGATGCTCATCAATCATGCACCGAAACTACAAAACATTATATGACCATTGATAAATAGAATAAAATTGAGGTTATGGTGATTTAATTCCATATTTAAATTGTTCGGTGGTGAAATGAAATAAGTTTCAACTAAAGTTGAGTCTAACAAGGGACTTTAAGGGTACGCGGTGGCATTACAGCTTGTAATTAATGAATTTCTGATGAATTCGTTTACGGTCGCGAACTTTGCGGCCCGTGCGGCAAGCCTCCCAACGATAATCAATCCGAGAAAATGATTAATTTCCAATTTCCCATGACAAATTTGAAAATGAAATTAATAGCGCTCCTTGGAGACGCCCGGCCGCCACCTCCGCACACAGGAGCCAACCCGAAGCAATTAAACAACGATAGTTGACGCATTGTTCCTGAATGGATAGTTTAAGCGCTTCGGCTGATGGGCATTTCATCTTGTCGTCAGTGCATGCGAACCGGAGTGGCTGAGAGGCACTCCAGTGAGTGATATCTGTTTGGCGTGCTTTCGCAGGAAATTAACCTACGATTTAAATTAGTTTTGTTCGACAAGAATGCCACGGCCCGAGAGCCGTATTTATGCTCGATTGCACTGCAGGCTTGCAACAATGCATGTTGGAGTATGTGTGGTTGTCTATTTGGTGAACAGTCAATGTTTGAGATTAAACACGCATTTTAACAATGTAAACAAAAATGTAATTAATTTATTTATTTTTTGTACCTCCAGCAATCCTATTGTATGGGTTTTGTTTCGAATTGTCTTTGTTATTAGGATTGTTTGCGTTTCGTGCAAGAAGCGCTACCGCCTTCGCCGCCGCCGCCAGGCGAAAATGATAAATTGCGCAAACGGATTTGTTGATTAAAACAGCATTTAATTTCGCCGTGCGTTTCAGCCGACACAAATACATCCGTGTATATTGTTCGCCGTTGCGTTGCGTTGCGTTATTAATAAGTTTGTGAAAATTATAGTATACGCACCTAAGTTAATTAGCCCTAAATCATTCGTCGTGATTTTCCTGCAACGGGCAGAAATACTGAAATTCGAAAATCCCTATCTTCAGAAATACCACTTCCTGCGCACGTAGGCGCGCGCGCTAGGAGCAGTTCACAAAAGGCGTGCGGATCGTCGGCGGGCGCGCGTGTCGGG